ATATATGTCTATTAAACGGTACAACGATGTTATGGGAGACAGAGATATGGGCACATGCAAATGTGATCGTATCAATACATAGTTATTAATCATATTACTTTGTCTTATTATTTTTTATTTATTACATTAGCAATAAGTTTCCCCTCTATCAACATTGATATATAATAATTTTGGTTTATATTTTTAATTCAGTACTTTGTTATATAAATTCTTTAGATACATTTTACTCATTTTATACAGTCCATTCCCTACTTCTTTCCTCTGCATGATTATAGATAACAGGAACGAACATTAACTTACCCACACATTATTACTGGGAGTTGCGTTCATACAGAGTAATCAAAACACTTCGAAAATAAAAACTTTTAATAAAAAATATACAACAGCATGATAATAATCTAATAATAGCAGGTCACATTAAGTTACCGACCACTACTCAAACATAATGTGACATTATTTTGGCAGTGATATGGATGAGAGTAGTTCACTATTTACTAAAAAAAATGTTGTTTTGATACGGGAGAGATAGTGGTCATAGAGAGCGCCTTCATTATATAATAAGATAAATTATAATATTTCAATAGGATTACCAAAATATTAGTTTTTAAATATTTTTTATAAATTTTATGGTTTGTTGAGGAGTGAAATAGTTTTAATTTAAATTATATGTTTATTTTGCAACCCAGATTAATATTTTATATTAACATAAATTTTTGTTATTTCCTAAGATGATATAGACATAATTATAGAAAAAACAATAGGAATTAAGCTAGAAAAAAATCAAAAACAAAAAAATATTTTAATAGACTTTGATGATAACCATAACCATGAAATCGAAATTTATACAGATGATCAAAATCAAAATGTAAAACAGCATGATAATAATTTATTAAATACAGGTAAAATTAAGTTACCGACCAATTACTTAAACAATCATATCGCTCTAATTTGTAATCTTTTATTACTGTAATAATGTAATAATAATAGTATATTATAATTACACATTATGATAATTACTATATTATTATTGAGAAACTGTTACATAAGTGAATATAAAATCTTAAATAAAAAATATGTTTTAAAATTTAATTTTATCTTAGAAAATATATACCTTCTATGTACCACACTAACACTACTTAAGGTCATTTTATTATTTAAGCTTTAAAAATTACATTTAAGAATAACATAGTGTGTCATTATTTTGGCAGAGTTATGCATAAAAATACTCATATAAAAATATTAATTACCATAAAAACTACTGTTCTGACATGGGAGCGCTTCATAATACCATTAGATAAAAATTAAATTTTTAATGGGATAACCAAAACATTAGTTTTCAAATTTTTAGTATATATATTTTTAGATTTGTTCAGGAGCGAAATTTATTTTATATATTCATTTTGAGACACAGATTAATTTTCTATATTAACATATACATTTTTGTATTTCATAAGGTAATCCAATATATACAGAAACAAAAATGGTTAATTTGTATAAAGTTATATTAAAAGTAATGGAAGTACAAGAAAAATCTTTAAGAGAATCTCTTTATAATGGTGATGAAAGTAATAGTGGTACCATCACATACAGTTATGCACGACAAATTTTTACGGATAAGAAATTTTTTAATGGTACATTATTTGGTCATAAAACTAACGAAGTACTTAATAATTATACAGATGAGCAAAATCAAATTAAATACAATGGTAATTATAATAATTTTTGTTTTAAAAGTATAAAATATTTTTCAACAATTACGTTAGTCGAATTTCATGTTTATCTATACCGATTGATTATTGTTTAAATCAATATTTTAATACTATTTTCAGATAATTAATTATTGATAGTTAAAATAATTTAGGATTTTAATTGATTAAAGGATTTTAGTTACTTTGATCCATTCTTAACCAAAGCTTATTCTGATTTCACATTTCAGAAAATATTTTTGTCATTAAAATAAAAAAAAAAACGGTAGCACAGTGAGGTCGCGGCATAGTAGAGACATTGCATAGTAGGGTCCAGTATAGATTTAATCTGACAGTGATTAAAATCACTATCATAAGAAACGCTTCGATGCAAATCTGTAGATAGTGTTTAATTTTAAAAAATTGATGGATAATTGCAAAAGCAACATCAACTTCTATTAAAATAAAATACAAAACCCATAATTATCATACAAAAATAGTATATTTTTCAATATGGTAGCCATTTGCG